TGATTAATTTAATGATTATTAAAATGAAGAATTTAATGATTAACATCATGATTATTATCATGATTCATATAATGATTAATGTAATGGTTCATATAATGCCTAATGCAATGACTAATATAATTCATATAATGATTAATATAATGATTCATAGAATGATAAATATAGTGATTCCTTTCATGATTTATTTAATGACTTTTATAATGACTAAGATAATGATTAATATAATGATGTTTGTAATGGCTGATATACTTGTTAATTTATTGACTAATATAATGATTAATATCATGATTCATATAATGATTAATAAAATGATTAATATAATGATTCATTTAATGATAAATATAATTATTCTTTTCATGATTCATTTAATGACTTTTATAATGACTAGTATCATGATTATATTTTAAGAATGATTAATATAATGATTACTATTATGATGAATACAATGATTATAATATCATGAGTAAAATACTGGCTAGTTTAATGAGTTTATATATAATGAGTAATGTAATGAGTAATGTAATGATTAATAAAATGATTAATATAATGATTAATATAATGATTAATTTAATGACTAATATAATGATAAATACAATGGCTAATATAATGAATGTTAAAATGATTAGTATAATGATTGATATAATGATTAATATACTGATTAATATAATGATTAAAATAGTAATTCATATAATGACTAAAATAATGATTAATAAAATGATAAATAAAATGATCAATATCATGATGAATATAATGATTTATATAATGATTAATTTAATGATTATTAAAATGAAGAATTTAATGATTAATATCATGATTATTATCATGATTCATATAATGATTAATGTAATGGTTCATATAATGCCTAATGCAATGACTAATATAATGATTAATATAATGATTAATATAATGATTCATATAATGATAAATATAGTGATTCATTTCATGATTTATTTAATGACTTTTATAATGACTAAGATAATGATTAATATAATGATTTTTGTAATGGCTGATATACTTGTTCATTTATTGACTAATATAATGATTAATTTAATGATATATATATAATGACTAATATAATGATTAATAAAATGATTAAATTAATGAATTATTTAATGACTGATATAATGATGATTCATTTTATGATTCATTTGATGATTAATATAATGATTCATAGAATGATTCATATAATGATTCATATAATGATTTATTTAATGACTTATATAATGACTAATATAATGACTAATATAATGATTAATGTAATGACTGCATGGAAAAAAGTGCACTCCCACAGCGGCCAGCTCTCTATTTCTATTCCCCCAAAAATATCAATTGAGGTATGGTTTGGCATTGCTCGACGCTCGGAAGTCCATGGATCCCGCTCCTCCCACTGCGCCCCCACCTGGGGTGCCCGTGCCGCCGGGCCGCGACAGCCACGACAACCACGTGAGGACGGGGAGAACTGTTCTCGAAACGGGAGACTTTAAGAGGGGAATGGCGGAATTGGAACTGAATTCAGACATCCAAAAAACCTTTGATATTGGTCCCTATGGATCTTCCTGAGAAGCTACTGAAGCCCCTTACATTCCGTAAATACTTCAGAAGGTACGGCTGGATCCATAGGGTGTTAATTAATCAACATGGGCTATGCTGAGATGAGAACTGACGGTCCGAGTTAAGGGATTCTTTTCAAACTAGGCGGGTGTTACGGCCTGGTTTATTGAAGGTTGTTTGTTTTTTTTCAAAAACTAGGACCATCCCTAAATAAGGCATGTTGACAGGGGTGTGTAAACCCCTAGAAAATTAAACTCTGGGAAACTCGTTCCCGGTTGTCTTGCAATAGCTCCGTGGTGCGGCCCCTGCTGCTTATTAATTATTAATATCAAAGGGCGCTGCAATTTGCCGGGAATTCTTCAAATTTCAAACCAACCGAATATATGTGATACATATTGATACATTATATACTCGGGTAATGTCCGCATATTTTCCACCATTGTGTTCCTGGAAGTATCTTCCTCCGGGAATCAAACATGGCTAGTTGGGACCAAACTAGCCATGGAGGTTTATAGCTTGGAAAAGTATCTATAAATGGATGAGATTTTTTGGTTTCATTTTCCCAGGGTATATCATGTTGGCAATGAAAATTCCATGGAATTCCTTATTTTCAATCGGAACACGATCCTAGGCTTTCGGGTATACCATGGTATACCTGAAATATGCCAACCCCCTGTTGGATGCCCAAAAACCAATGGTTTAGGTTGGTATGTCGATAATTTACTCAATAAGCTCAAACATGTTGGGTTGACTCACCATAGTTCCGAAAGATATCTTTATTGATTATTACTTATTACATTACCCACTTACCAAGTGATATGAATCTTTGTATCAGCATTTTGGTTGTTAAACATATTTTTTGATGAGCCAGGTGAGGGTCTCCTCCTCATATCGGGTTATGCCATTGTTATGCCATGTTCCGCCCCTATGGATCCAAGCACTTCCTGGGTACTTAACCCATCTTAACCCCCTAAATCTACTTGGATCCAGCCGATAAACCAGGTTGTATAAAGCCCATTTCGTAGCATGTCGTAACCAGTATCAATGAACCATAGCCTATCACCAATATCCCCGTATTTCTGTCGTTAAAACATGCCAAAACTTATATTTCATGGGTTAAATCATCTTGAATCATCTTGAATCTCCTGTTTGAATTCCAAGATTCCACTCCTACTTTTATTCCATCATAATCACCCAGTTTCTCTACGTATTCAGTTATCACCTGAAGAACATCTTGGTTTACAATTCTGGGTCCATTGATCCGAAAATAGGGCTACCCCCCAGTTCTCATCCATGTTATTTTCGGATCTTTCAGTATTTTTCATGAAATAAACCATCCAGCGGGGCACCCCCATACACATGGAAACCCCATTTCGAAGCAGCTCAGCTGCATCAGCCTGGGTAAGATGCAGGAAGATTGTCCGTTTCTTGGAGCAGCTGCAAGAAGCTCCAGAGACGCCAGCAAGCCGCCAGACGACTCCCGAGACTCCTGGAGCTGACACGCCCATCAGCTTCGAGGATTTCTAGGCTTCCGCGGGGAAACTCCCATGGACATGTGCCATGATCAAAACAAAACAATATTGCTTTCTCCAAACGAAAAGGCATGATCAAACTATTTTCATAAGGATTTATCGAGGAAGTTTTGAAGTCAAACTTCCGACGATATGGACAGATGAAAAGCACAGGTGGGAAGAATCAGAGAAGAGAAGAGAAGAGAAGAAGAAAGAAGATCAGAGAAGAGAAAGAGTCAGAAAAAAGAAGATGCAGGTGCGTGAAAAGGAAGAAAAGTCGCAAATCACTGCCTTTTTCCGATGATTTCTGCGCTAAAGCGGCGGGTGCGGAGCCAGCTGGCCAGATGAGAGATGAACAATTGCACGCCGTTGTGGCGCGAAGCACATTTCGAAGTCAAAATGTGCAAAACACCACTTCCTCGGAACATTTTTTGGAGGTTAAGACGTCGTTTCGCGTGGCAGGTGCAAGGGATTGTGCACCTTGTCAAAGTGAGCAAAACGTTAGAGTTTTGTAGCATGTCCAAAAACGATGGCAGGTGTGGGACATTTGAAGAGGATCTGCAAAGATGCATTTCGCGTGGCAGGCGCAGTACAAGAGACATGTTCATCAGAGATGTTTGGAGGTCAGGGCACTGAAATTCCTGACAGGCGTAGCATTTTGGAGCATCAGATCTTCAGGTTTGCTAAGATGGTTTGCGTGACAGGTGCAGCACTTGAGACAGATGGAGTGGAAAAATCGCAAAACACATTGGTACGAGGCCGTCAGCTCTGCACTCAACTGTCCATTTTTGAAGGAAGTCTCGCAGAATGCTTCGTTTTTGATGTTGTCAACTTCGAACTGAGGAAGTCTCGTAGAATTGCTGCGCTTCTGATGTTGTCGAGTTCAAAAGCCGAGGAAGTCTAGCAGAACTACAACTACAACCACAACTACACTACACTGCGCTGCGCTACACTACACTAAGTACACTACACTAGACTAGACTACACTACACTAACTACAACTACAAACTACACTAACTACAAGTACAAACTGCACTAGCTACAACTACAGTACAACTACAGCTACAACTACACAACTTTACTACACTAATTACACTACACCAGCCACAACTACAACTCCACTACACTACAACTACAGCTACAGCTGCACTACACCACACTACATCCAGCAGTTGTGGCTGAAGTGACCACTGCAACCATTGCAACCACTCCAAAAAACACAACTCCAACCACCCTTCCGTCCATCAGTGGGTTCGCTCTGCCATCCATGCATCACAGCAACTCACCTCTCCTCATTATAGTGTCCTATCTTTGAAACTTCCGCCACCGCCTTGTGTGGTACTTCTGGTATAAAGCCATTATGCTTGGACTCCCAGTATGAGGTGGATGACCATGCCCCATATACACCATGTTTTGACCCTAGCACATGATAGTTGCAGTCATTTCTCCAGGTTTCCAGGTTTTCGTCTCTCGGTTTTTGTAGAGTAACTAGTTGATTCAATACTAAACCAGGGGTCTGGAGATGTTTCGAGGCTGTATCCGAAGATGTTTTCTTTTTGCCCAATGATTATGTTGCCCCCTTAATTATATATTTGTAAAGACCAAAACTATTTTACACTATTCCAACAAATTCCGCGGTTTTACACCTAATGTTTGGCAAAGTGCCGTCATGATTACGGATATTATGGCGCCCTGGGGGAATCGTTCGTGGCTTCGTTCCCAGTTTGTTCAGCAGGGACAATGTCCAGTTAGTTCGAAGTGATCTCACTGCGTGGGGTGAAACACAATTTTTTTTAGTTGATTTCCGGAAACTTGAAAAACACTTTCTTCGATGATTTTGCGCAGGAGATTGATTTTCAGAATATGCGAATTAAAAATAACTAGACGACGGATGGCCCGAGAGCGTAGAGGAGCAGGGTCTTCTCTTGTTAGTATGGAGACACCATATTACAAACAATATATTAAAGATGTTATAGGCAGTCGAGAAGAGGAGTATCAAGACAAAATAGCAGAAGTGCAAGACAATAGTTTGCATCGCAAACACTTTTACACACAGAAGCTTTTACACACAGACGCTTTTACACACAAAAGCTTTTACACACAGAAGCTTTTACACACAGAAGCTTTTACACACAAAAGCTTTCATACACAGAAGCTTTTACAGACAGACACTTTCACACACAGACCCTTTTACACACAGACGCTTGTACACACAAAAGCTTTTACACACAGAAGCTTTTACACAGACGCTTTTACACAGACGCTTTTACACACAAAGCTTTTACCCACAGAAGCTTTTACATACAGAAGCTTTTACACACAGACGCTTTTACACAGACGCTTTTACACACAGACACTTTTAACAAAGACACTTTTAACAAAGACCCTTTTACACACAGGAGCTTTTACACACAGAAGCGTTGACACGCAGACGCTTTTACACACAAACGCTTTTACACACAGAAGCTTTTACACATAGACGCTTTTACACACAGGCACTTTTACACACAAACGCTTTTACACACAAACACTTTTACACACAGACGCCAGACGCTTTTACACGCAGACGCTTTTACACACAGACGCTTTTACACACAAACACTTTTACACACAAACAGCTTTTACAAGCAGATCTTTCACTCACACCCTTTTACATCTAACACCAGTTACATCGCAATTTTACCTCTGTTTTTGCACATCGAGCCTCGCTTCGTGCGAAAGGGTTGCTCCGGCACAAGTAAAATCGCAATTTTACCTCAGTTTTGGCGCATCGACCTTCATTTCGTGCGAAAGGGTTGCTCCAGGACAAGTCCGGCACAAGTAAAATCGAAATTTTACCTCAGTTTTTGACGATCGAACCTCATTTCGTGTGAAAGGGTTGCTCCGGGACAAGTAAAATCGCAATTTTACCTCAGTTTTTGACGATCGACCCTCATTTCGTGCGAAAGGGTTCACGTTTCGTGACTCCCCGCCGGCACCACCCTCGGCCTAAAGAGAGAAAGATAAAGAAGGCGAGAGAGAGAAAAGGGAGAGAGAAAGGAGAGAGAGAAAGGAGAGAGGAAAGAGGAGAGAGAGTGAGAGAGAGAGAAGATGTGAGTATGTGAAGATGTGAGTGCGAGTATGTGAAGATGTGAAGATGAGCAGATGTGAAGATGAGAAGATGTGAAGATGAGAAGATGTGAAGATAAGAAGATGTGAAGAGGAGCAGATGTGAAGATGAGCAGATGTGAAGATGAGAAGATGTGAAGAGGAGCAGATGTGGAGATGAGCAGATGTGAAGATGAGCAGATGTGAAGATGAGCAGATGTGAAGATGAGCAGATGTGAAGATGAGAAGATGTGAAGATGAGAAGATAAGAAGAGGAGAAGATGTGAAGAGGAGCAGATGTGAAGATGATCAGATGTGAAGATGAGCAGATGTGAAGATGAGCAGATGTGAAGATGAGAAGGTGTGAGAGAAGGTGTGAAGATGAGAAGGTGTGAAGATGAGAAGATGAGATACAGACCCCCACTATTGGAAGAACCCTGCGCTCAGACGCTCTCGGGAATTAAGATACATAAAAATTGGTTTAGAACTGCAATGGGAAACTTGGGCATTTTAGTTCATTTGATTAGCCATCAACTATATAACCTTTTACAGAATAGTTCCATGAGGGAGTCGGTCAGGGGTCAGGGATCAGGGTCCATAGAAGTGGTAAATAAGGGGGAATCATCCCCAACTGGCCGAACTTGTCAGACCGCACTGTTGTCCATCACTGAAATGATGGTTATTTTTTGTGTTAGCACCCCAAATCACCGTATTTCAAGTTAGTGAACATCATCGTTTACCCAGATCAATGTTACATTGAACTGGCAACGCCGGTTCAAATTTCGCGTTTCAGCCGATAAACCGATAAACCGATAAAGGGCAGACTCTGCCCTTTACTGGCTTATCGGCTTATCGGCGCCGGCCGCTTTGAATCGGCCATGCCAGTACTCTGCAATATTATTGTTGGTGATATCCCATTCCCCCTCCCATGATTCTCCCATGATATTCCCATTATACGTTAATGTTACCCTTTTTTTTGTTGCAGGATAATGATCTTTTGATATCTTTTGATCATTTTTGTGAGTCACAGAGCTGAAAGGATCATATCCTTGGGTGATTACCTTCATGGATCTGGGTAAATTGAATCACGACCTCAATGTTCTCCCTCACTGGAACGATGGTGAATGTAAGATATGTAAGGGGAATAATCCCAATGCAACCTCATTTCAGGTTAGTGAATTATTATAATTTGCCCAAATGGATGATAAACCTGTGAGTGAGCCTAGTTAACCCCAGTGATAGTAATGTTAGTAAAGCAATGGTATAAATTAAACCACCCATATGTTGATGGCTTACACAACCATAAAGGTGTAAAAAATATTGCTTTACTCACATTATGTCTATTGGGATGTAGATGTTTACTAGTGCTACGGGGCCCCTTTGTTTCACAACCCAGCAGTCGAGCAGGAATTAGCGCCCACGGGCCAATAAAAAGTGTGTCTTGGTCCGAAAATGATGGCTGGAAATCAAAAAGTTGCTGTTTTTAAGGCCGCAAATTATGACTTTGCAAGTTTCAAAGATGTCTATTAAGCGACTCCTAGTTTGCATTGCAGAGGTTTGCAATCAGAAAGCAATTTCAAGGGTTCCAGAGATGGTTCTATCACGGGGCTTCGACCCCCTTGTCACGTCCGTAAGACCTGTTAATTACTGCTCGGTTTTCATGGCGATCGCATGGCCATTCAAAAACCATTTCAGGCCTTTACAATTGCCATCTCCGAAACAAAGGCTTTCTTTGGTTTGGATCCGGTTGTGAACGTCCGTCCGGTGTCGGATCAACAACGTCAGTAGCTTGATGGTAGAAACAACTTTGAAAAAACACCACAAAATGGTATTTATGATGAATGTATATTATATTCTATTATATTATATTATACTATGTTATATTATATTATATTATATTATGTTATATTATATTAAATTATATTATAT